TGAAATAAAATGAAAATAATGAAGTTTTATTTGTGTTATTATGTCGGTGAACATAAACTAACATAATGTCTGTAAGTTTTATGGGAAATTAATTAATGATTAGGTTAAATTACCAGAGAGAGTGGCTTGCATATCAGAAGAGAAACTGCGATTAACAGTACTGGTTAAGGGAGCATTTTCTGCATAATTGGTGGTGTAATAGTTCACCCCAAGAAAATCATATGATCCTTTCAGCATTTCTGATTCTGCTTTTGTGAATTTTGGAAGTCTATCTCCAACTATATATCTCATGCTCTTTGGATAATCTCCAAATGTAATTGGATCAGCATACCTATGCACACAGATCAATTATCGCTTAATAACAGAGATTAGAAATATAGACATACGATTTAAATCACTTCGCATATGTTTCATTAAACTAAGAATTCTATCTTAAAATTTAACAATTTTTACATTTTATTCCTATTTAATATATCTACTATATTTTATAAAAACAAAGTCTATACATTAATAAATAAATGGTAAAATAAAAAATTTAATACTGTGACTGATGAATAGGAATAAAATTTTTTTTTCTCTCTATCTTATACTATATCATGTCCTAATTATAAGATTTTATTTATAGATTATAAATAAAGCCTTATAATTAGAGTTGGAGATAATATATAAAACCAGATAAGTACATACCATCCGAACCAAAAGTCGAGAGCTCGACTTGCAGCTTGACGATTGCCTGGAGAGTTTGTTTTTGGCTCCATCCAGTGAGTCACCAATGTGATTCCAATTTCTCCTTTCTGGTACTTCTGTTTCCAATACAACACACACAAAATGACACAAATTCATTAAAAAATACACTCAATCATCACATATATATATATAAATATATATTTTTTATAATCAAGTGCCTGTATTCCTTTTTGTGATCATACAAAAATATTTTCATTACAACTACTCCTTCACAAAAAAAGAAGAAGATAATTTTGCGTACAAATTAAGTCACAATAAGAAATAGTGAAGGAGTCTATTTGCAGTGAAAAAGGAAACCTGATATTTGGCCTTGTATAAACTGACGGCAGCACCGTGGGCCAGAAGCAAGTGGTGGCCGACGAGATAGGGCTCGGTGGCGGAGTTGCCGGAGGTGCAGTTTCCGACATAGTTAGAACATCTTCCCGGCGCGAAACTGCCTGTGTTGTAGCCATTGTTGCTATACCCAAAGGGTTCGTTCAAAGTAACCCAGTGCTTAACTCGATCACCAAAAGTTTTGAAACAAAAGTCAGCATAATCACGAAAGTCCCCCCTACATCATACACACACACACACACACACACCAATTAAATTAGGGAAAAATTACTTTATTTGGATAGTTATAGATAATTATAAGTTTAATTAATTAGTATGACTCACACTATTTTAGGACTAAGAAATCCACCGTATTCATCTTCTAAGGCTTGAGGAAGATCAAAGTGAAAGAGAGTCACAAAAGGTTTTAATCCTATATATGCAATAATTTGTGAGTTAGCTCAGATTTGTTATTATTATTATAATAATAATTAAAGAGACCTTAGAAAAAGAGAGATAGAGGCAGAGAAGTTGACCATTAGAAAGAAGCTCATTGATGAGGTTATTGTAGAACTTAACCCCCGAATAATTGACTGTTCCTTTCCCCTCTGCACATAACTTAAACAAGTTAATCTGTGCAAATCACTTTCAAGTTTTAACATTAACGTCGTAAGATGCAAATTATTGTATGACTACTGAAAACATAATTAAGCACATACTTGGGAATATTCTAGACCATGAGATGGAAAACCTGAAGGAGTCCAACCCGATCTTCTTCATTAATTTGATGTCACTCTGCAATTAACATGCCAATATTCACAATCATCAACAACGTCATCAATTTTTAATTTATTTGTGACTGCATATATATATAATTGAACATTTATATATGCACCTTGTATCGATGATAAAAATCATCTGCAACATCACCATTACTCTGATCCATAATCTTCTCTGTACATCAAAATATAATTTCTTTCGTTAGCATAATTTCTTGGCACACGTTAAGTATTATTCTTTCATATATTGCACAAAATCATATATTATTTTGTGTCTTAAATATAAGAGTTAGTTGATGGTCATAAATATAAGACTTTAATCCACTTTGTCTTTCAAATTTATAATGTGTACTCAAAAATATCCCTATTGATTGTAAGGTATTATTACCTAAGTGTAGTTTCAATGTATATGAATAAATAGGGTAATTTAAGAAAAGTAACACATATTTGTTATAAATAACTAACCTAACTTATTTTCTTAATATTTCTAAATTAGTCATCTCGCTTTTATATTAAGTACTGAAAGTAGACTTAGCTTCTTATGAATTTGTGGTAACTAATGAAAGAAAAATATGTCTGTGTGTGTGTGTGTGGAGACCTGGGTGTTGCCTAGTGAAGGTGTCCCATATGCTTAGTCCTCTTCCATCAATATTGGCTGCTCCTTCTGACTGAATCATCATAATGTAATTCAACAACAAAAAGTGAGGGAAAATATGACAAATTATGATAAAGTATTTCATACAAGTTTGTAGAGAAAAGACTTAAGAAATGAAGAAGAGAATTAATGGAGGCATTTTGATGATAATGAAAAAGAGAAACCTGGTAAGCAGCGGAACCAGCACCGAAAATGAAGGAAGGAGGGAAAAGGGTTCTATTGAAAGGCACAGAATAATGACTTGGCTTAGCACTCTCTGTGCCTCTCAGCAGCAACACGAAGAAGAAAAAGAAGAAGACGAAGCTCAACACTACATTATTTCTCCTGTTTGCCATTAATTTCGTTATCTCTTCTTTGCCATTCAAATGCTTCAACACTCACTTCTATTTAAAGTTCCGAAGCACAGCGTATTTCAGTAGTTTCTTCACCAGTAACGATACCGCACAGTCTTATCACCAATAATGCAACATTTTTGTCATTATCTTTTACAAAATCCCTCTTTTTTACATATAATTTATATTTTATTATCTTATCTCTACATATTGACAATCTAAATATATGTCTATATATTTAATGTCATGAGTCTCACATCACGGAGCTTCACAAATAAATTGTTGTTTATATATTCCAAAAAATTTTGCCATATAATGTATTAGTGTTTTGAAATGGGCTCCTTCTCATAACATATAATATTATCAAACAACATCATCTTCTCCTTTTTCCTTCTTTTTTTTATTTATGTTTTTTGTTTTGGCTATTGGATCTACGTCAGATACACTATTAATTTGCCCCATAATTTAGTGATTTTGCTTGTTGTAGGTAAATTATTAAATTCTCTTCTGATCAGTTACTTCTTTGATTTGGCTTCTCCGAATGATCATGTTGTCGGCAAACAAATCAGATCCGAAGAGATCTGTGCCAATAGTACATAAAATAATATTGTGAGTGGCAATAATTAATTGATCACGTTAGGTGCGTGAGAGAAAACTGCTCTGGTCACTACTGCAATCTGTGTATAAATACATTATATTTGGAAAATCATTATGAGATCCCAAAAAATAACGAATCACCTAAAAATTTTACAATAAATGAGTAACATGTAATGACAAGTTTTAGTATAAAAAATAAGAACAGGTTTATACCTCTCATTTATTGTAGAACTTTTTAGCGATTATATTTAATCAAATCTGATTAAGGTTATGTTTCAAGGTTAGACTAAGCATGCAAAAATTTTAATTTGAAAATATTTGAGTATAGAAAAGATAAGAATTTAAAATATATATTTATTTTGAATATTATAAAATAATGCCAGAAAACTATTAAAAATATGTTCCATGCCAACTGAAACAATACTTTCATATATTTCGTGCCTAAGTTTTCTTTTATAAATAGTGCCCGTTCAGAAGTCAACTAGAATGTTAGGTGTCTCCTAATTAAATGTCACGTTGTTTACGAGTTTAGTAATCGCGATCGACTTGAACAACGTAATTTTATATTGAAGCGTGATTATTGTGTCCAGGTTTTTTTTTTTGAATACTTATGTCCAGATTTAATAGAATATGTGGATGTTAAATTGGTTAGTATAATATTTGGTCCTCGAATTTAGCCCTACTTTGATTTTAATTTCTCAAATTTCAAACTATAGGTTTCAATCTTTTAAGGAGCAAAATGATCCAAATTTTTATTAAATTATAGAGACTAATATTTTAAATGAAAAGAAACTTAAAAGATTAAAACTTATTATTTGAAATTTGAGGGATCAAAATCAAAATGAAAGTAAACTTAAAAGACTAAAATTCGTATTAACTCCTTTTAAATTTTATATAATACTACCTTTGGTCCTTAATATAAGAGCTAGTTGATTAATTTGAATAGATGAAGAAAGTTTGTTAAGTTAGTTATTTATAATAAATAAGTGTTGTTTTTTATAAAATACCTTTATTAATCAAGTATATTAGCTAGAACTATCATTACTATAAGGGCTATTTTGAGAAAAAGTAGATAAATATGAAAGGAAAAGTATATTAAGATATTATATTTAAAATTAAAATAAAATCTAAACAAACTTTTATATTAAAGATCAAAGATAGTAGGTTTTTTGAAAAATTAGAAGATATTTATAATCAATGCAGTCTATGGAAAATAGTCATAAATAAGGAGCAGGGAGAAGGGGAGTGAACGGGGAAGTGCCGGAATCTTGCAAAACTCCGAAAATGGTGGGACCTGTGGGATGAATTGTCATTTTTCTACTAGTGAGAGCATATACGAATACGAGGCGGCACTCGTGGAGCAGGTGAGGGCACATGTCGTTCGAAAATGAAGTTTGTGTGCGTTTTCTTCCCTTGATTGGATTGATGGGCCAAATCATGGATGTTTTTGGTGCTTTATTTTTTGGCGGGCCCAATTGCTTAAAATTCTATGAATAGTATCCATAAAACAAAGTAATAAACTACTAGTAATTAGGAAAACAAAAGCATTGGAATCATCACTACAAGAAATTCATACATGCCTGTGCTTAACCCAAAAAAAAAAAACGCACACCCATAAGAAGGGAAACAGAAGATAATAGATAATAATCTTTTATTAATCACAATAAGACCCTTATATATAGAGTCTAACTGACTAATCAACTTCTTGTGATCTTAAGAACTAAAGTGACATATTTTATCTGCCAGTCCAACCATTAATTTATTATGTAGGAGATATGGTGGAGAATCTGAAGAGCAGAGTTATTATTATGGTGAAGGAAATCAACGGAGGAGGAACATCTTGAGCCAATAAGCAGAGTACTTCATATATCTTTTGAGATTGTTCTTGAAATCTACGTAAATGATTCCGAATCGAACGGTGTAGCCAGCATCCCACTCGAAGTCATCAAAGAACGACCATGCATAGTATCCCTTCACCTTCACTCCATCCCTGCACATGCATAGCCATTCAAAATTTAGATGAGTTTTGTATTAATTTAATTTTTATTTTACGAAACAAATGTCTTATTTTAACTATTACAAATTAAAATTACAACTTGTACTTATTTTTTTCAAAAAATGTGAATTAAAATAGAAATGGGTATAGTTTCAGGAAAAAAAAAACTAATCAATATTTACTTAATCTATATGTGATGTTTTGTGGAAGGACATATATCAATTAATTAATGGAAAATTTTCAATTAAATCCAGTCCAAACACCAAAATCTAAATTCCTAATAATGCTAAAAGGACTAAATAGAAATTTCAAAATCAAGTTAAATGACCACATTTAAGTGGGAATTTATTAAAAATGCAGAGGTATAAATCTGAATTATGGTATTTTAGCTTAATTTAATTTAAGTGGGATTTTGCCTTACTTAATTATACCTTTTTGGGATACAATTGATTTAAATATTTCTTGCAATAATTATTTGTTGTAATAATATATGTGAGAACTCACTTGATAGCTTGAAGAAGATATCTCAGATGGGCATCATAATATCTAATTCTGACTCCATCCTTGATGGCTTCTTTCACCGGTATAGATGCATTGTTTACTTGAGCAACTCCTGAAATTTTCAACGTAACAAGAGTTATATATTAATAATTTCAAGGCTATCTTATATATATATGTATATATATAATAAAATGAACTTACAGATAGGCGAAAGAAATTTTTTAAGGTTATTGTAAATAAAGGACAATAATTCAGGTGGGATCAATAATTTTGCTTACCATTTTCATTGATGTAAATGGGTGGGTCACTGTATTTGTGCTTTACGTACAACAAAAGCTGATGGAGTCCCTTGGGATATATATAAAGCCAACTCAATGCCGTCTGCAAAGCCATCCAAGACTTTCTTCTTTATTAAAGTTGCCAAGGTTAATCGCTCATACCACTACGTATGCATTTTTCGATTAAGAAAAGTATCTTTTTATTAAAAACAATCCAATTAAAATACTATCAGGTATTAAATATTGGTACATCTCTCAATAGAAAGTTGAATCGTTAGATTGTGAGGAATTAGTTTCTTTTATTAAACCCAAACCCTATTAAGAACACTTCTTAATTTTAGAAAGCGGCGAATGTGTGGCCCAACCTACATATTACGGGTTGATCCATTAGGGTTTGAGGGCTGTGTAGGGTTGCATTTTAACCAACCCAACCTACAATTCTAGACGGGTAAAATGGGTTGGATTAGTAAGTTTAACTCATCTCTAGCACTACTTTTAAACACTTTTGATTAGCTTTATATGTATACATATAAAAAGTGTTCGAAATGAAGATCAAGGTACTATTTATACAATTTCACAACGCGCAACTGAATAAAGAGTATGAAGGAACTTTATTTGGCAAAAAGAAGAAAAAGAAAGAAAGACGGAAGTTTATAATGGTGACAATTAAAAAAGTTTAACCTTTCAAATAATTAACTTATATGTCTGTGATCTAAATCTAAAGGAATGAGAAAAGAGGAAGAAGAATATAATATACCGGAGTACCAACAGGGAAGCCATTTCTCGAAGCTGAAATCAAAAGAAAAATGACGTTTATTAAAGTGATGTTTGATAGTGAATATAAAATAACATAATAATTGTCTTTGAGTGATGGGAAATTAATTAATGATGATTAGGTTAATTAAATTACTAGAGAAACTGGCTTGCGCATCAGAAGAGTAGCTGCGATTAACAGTGCTGGATAAGGGAGCATTTTCTACATATTGGGTGGTATAATAATTTATCCCAATAAAATCATAAGATCCTTTCAGCATTTCTGATTCTGCTTTTGTGAATTTTGGAAGTCTATTTCCCACTATAGATCTCATGCTCTTTGGATAATCTCCATATGTAATGGGATCAGCATACCTGCACACACATCAATTATTGCTTGAAACACAGAAATTATTAACCATGTGTTTGGATAGAAAAAGAAAAAGCAGGATGGAAAGAAGCGGAGGGAAAAATTAAACCAGGCATAAGACCAACATGGTTAATTTCTTCCCTAAAGCTTTCTCTTTTAAAAGTGAGGAGATTTTGTGGAGAAAATCAGTTTTCTAAAACTGTCTCGAAGGTTTCTCTGAGTATTATTTTGGTTGTGAAATTACATATTAATTTCCTATTCTTCTTCCTTTCCCCACTTTTTTCCCTTTCGTCCATTTCCTTCACTTCCCATTCCTCACTTCGTCCAAACAGAGAAAATCGAAGGGGAAAAAAATAAATGAGATGAATTGATTTTTTTTTTCATACTAAGATAAATTGATATTAGTTACACTCTACTTCTGTAATCATATTTACAAGTTACTTCCATCAAGTTTTACACATATAGAGAAAAGTTTAAAACTTCATTAAAATTTTCATAAAATAAAACAAAATTTCAATTTTATCCCTATTTAGGGAGTGTTTGTGTTTGTATCCACTGAAAAGCATTTTTGAAAAATATTCTCACACAAATCTAAATAAAACTCAAATAAACTCAAATCAAATATTTACTTTATATACCGTAAAATCTTTTTTAAAATCAAGATTTGGTTTTTACCCAAACACCACATTAATATACATTATATCCTCTGAGAATAAATTCAACATAGTAATAAAAAATGGTAAAATTATATACTACTCTGTTTCTATTTATAAATCACTTGTAGGAAAAAAATTTTTGTCTAAATATAAGTCATCTGTAGGTAATTAACAATTTTTTCTAATTTTATCACTGTTAACTTAATAAATGCATAGATAGACAAAGTGAACAGGTAAGAGAAAATATAAAATATATTTTTAATGCACTTTCTTAAAAAAAGAAAGCAAATGTAAAAAAATTATCAATTTAATATATTTTGTGGTTTGTGAACTTGGAGTACAAGTGATTTATAAATATTCATATGAAAAATTTATTTCACTTTCTTCTATAAATATGATAAAAAAATCATTCTCTTTCTGCGCTGTAAATAAGAATAGGGAGTATATGCATACCATCCCAACCAAAAATCCAGAACTCGACTTGCAGCTTGACGATTGGCAGGAGAGTTTGTTTTTGGCTCCATCCAGTGTGTCACTAATGTGATTCCAATTTCCCCCTTCTGGTATCTCTGTTCCCAATACAGAATACACACAAAAAGACACAACAAGATACGTCAATTCATTGAAAAAGAACACGCAGAGACGCCAAGTTCCATTGCTGCTGTAATTTATTTGTTTTTAATGAAACCTGATATTTGGTTTTGTATAATCTGACAACAGCGGCGTGAGCAAGAAGAAAATGGTGGGTGACGAGATAGGGCTCGGTGGCGGAGTTGCCGGAGGTGCAGTTTCCGACATAGTTAGAACATCTTCCCGGCGGGAAGCTGCCAGTGTCGTAGCCATTTTTGCTGTACCCATAGGGTTCATTCAAAGTAGCCCAATGCTTAACACGATCACCAAAAGTTTTGAAGCAGAAATCAGCATATTCATAGAAGTCCCCCCTAGATCATCATATATTTAAATATCAATTACATTAGGGGAAAAAATAATGACATAAAAAATTGACTTCATTAGGATATATATTTTATTGATTGGTAATAATTTTAATCGATCATTAATATGACTTACACTATTTTAGGACTGAGAAATCCACCATACTCATCTTCTAAGGCTTGGGGAAGATCAAAATGAAAGAGAGTCACAAAAGGTTTTATTCCTGTGGATGCAATAACATGCTGTGGGTTTAGACTTGTTTGGTTTAAAAAAAAGATTTGATAGCAAAGTTAGCTCAGATAAAAACTCAGACATATATATATATATATATATAATTATTTTTCAATATATATACAATTGTAGAAGCCCCAGAAAGAGAGAGAGAGAGGTTAACCATTTGAAAGGAGCTCATTTATGAGATTATTGTAGAAGCCAACTCCCAAATAATTGACTGTGCCTTTCCCCTCTGCGCGCATATATATATATATATATATATATATATATATTAAACAAGTTTTCATTAATTTGTGCAATTATCACTTCCAAGTTTATTATAATGTCGAAAGATGCAAATAATTGTATAGCCATTAAACATATACTAGTATAAGTACTTACTGGGGAATATTCTGGACCATGAGATGGAGAATCTAAAGGAGTCCAACCCTATCTCCTTCATTAATTGTATGTCACTCTGTACAATTAATGTGCCATTATCACAATCACCAACATCATTTCCAATGGCAAGTGAGGTCCCATGCAAAGAAAATTATTAAGAAGTCTCCAGCATTTATCATTTTTAATATCAGAACTTGTTATTACATGCTATTGTATATGTTGTCATTGGGAATTTTTGGTAATTATGTTCATTTCTTGAAGCTTCACATCAATTCTACATTATTTAAACTATATATATATATAAATATATAAAACAATGAGCACATACGTACCCTGTATCGATGATAAAAGTCCTCTGCAACATCACCATTACTCCGATCCGTAATCTTTTCTGTACATCAAAATGAACTCTCTGGTTAGCATTATTTCTTGGCTTACATTTACATACTATTCTTTCATACATACATATTCACAAGTTATGAACAGTTAAGTTCTTGTGAATGTGTGTGTCTATATATATACACACACACCTGGGTGTTGCTTAGTGAAAGTGTCCCATATGCTTAGTCCTCTTCCATCGATATTTACTGCTCCTTCTGACTGAATCATCATGATGTAACCCAACAACAAAAAGTGGGGAAAAGTATAGTAATAAATAATTATAGTATTTCATACAACTTTGTAGAGAAAAGGCTTAAGAGATGAGGAAGAGAATTAATCAATGGAGGCATTTTGATGATAATGAAAAAGAGAAACCTGGTACGCAGCAGAACCAGCACCGAAGATGAAGGAAGGAGGGAAAAGGGTTCTATTGAAAGGCACAGAATAATGACTTGGCTTAGCACTCTCTGTGCCTCTCAGCAGCAACACGAAGAAGGAAAGGAAGACGAAGACGAAGCTCAACGCTACATTATTTCTTACGCTTGCCATTTTCATTATCTCCTCTTTGCCATTCAAATGCTTCAACGCTCACTTCTATTTAAAGTGCCGAAGGATACTGTAATTTTCTAATTTACTGTTGCATTAATATAATTTTTTATCCTTTAAATTTAAGTTTATTTTGACTTTGGTTTTTTGAATTTCAAACCCTTAGTTTTGGTTTCTGAATTTAGTTTATCTTAAAAATTTAGTCCTTGAAAGCGTAACGGTATTAAAATCTACTCCTCCAATTCAATATATAAGACTCTTTTTGTAGTATAATTTATACAACAAAAAAGATCTTATATTTAAGACTGAAAGAGTACTATATATGAACTTACCAAATGATACCTATTTAAATGTTGTATGGATAACAAATTATTTAAAAATAGATTATACCCTCAAAATGTGGCTGCGTAGCACTCTTTTTCTCATTGTTCATTTGAACAATTATTCGCTGCACTATATTTTGAGAACTTATCAAATAACCTATATATATATATGTATATAAATAAGAGTCTTCAAAACACAATACAAAGAGTGATTGTACATTTGATAATTTTACATTATTTTTAACATCATTTATAATGCTTCAGTAAATTTTAACATTTATTATTTTTTTAGTAACTAATATTTTAAAATTCACAAAGAAAGAAGCACAATTTCCTAGGTCTGATCACCCTTATTGCAATAGTTATCTTTCTGCAGAAGAGAAAATTTCATGAAAAAATTACAAATAAAGACTTCCTAATATGTAAAATTATAATTTGGGATTCTAAATATGAAAAATAACAGATAAGGACTAAGTTCCACTTTTGCAAATATAAAATCATGATGAAATGTTTAAAATGCCTCTTAATCAAATTGTGATTTGATCTACTGAAATTGTCATTTGCTAAAGTGAAATTGTTATTTTTCATAATCAACTCGTCATTTGACATATCCTCAGCTAAGTTATGATTTGGTCTATTAAAGTTGTCATTCATTAAAATCAATTTGTCATTTCCCAAATTCAGCTTGTCATTTAGTTGGTGGGCATTTCAAACATTTCACTATGATTTCATATTTGCAAAGGTAGGATCAGGTCCTTACTTGCTATTTTTTATATTTAGGATCTTAAATCATAATTTTACATATTAAGGGGTCTTATTTACAATTTTTTCAAATTTCATTTGGCGGAGAAAGATTCTCTCTTCTGCCGTCCTTTTCCATCACCATCATCACATCTAAGGCGTGTAATTTAATATTTTATGAAAATAAATAATATTATAATTTTATTTAAAATATATATAAATTAAATAATTTTAAATTATTAAAATTGTACAACTGTAAATTATTATTATATATTTTCAGTTTTTTCCACGTCAGATCTATAGAAATGTTTTCTAATAGGACAAAACTTAGGGAGAATTACAATTGGTCTCAAAAAAATTTTAATTATTCTAAAATCTATTGACAAATAAAACAATAGAAAGTGAGTATTGACAAGTTTTAGACTAGAAAAATGATAATATATTCAGAATAGTCATATGTTATAAAATTTTTTGATAATTAAATTTTTTAAAAAGATTTATTATTGCTTCTCCCCATAACTTATCATGTGTGGCCATAATTACTTGATCAAACTTGGCGAGAGAATTCTCCATCGGTCAACTACCATGTGCATATAAATATACATATACCAAAAATACTTAAATCAAATTTTTTATATTTGCTATTATAAGTTCTTCACATGTGTCTTTTTTTTTTAATATAAGCTTATAATTCAATGATAATACTTTAAAAATAAAATACATAATTATATGTCACATAAAAACTTGACATAATAAATAATAAATATAAGTTACTTAACACAAAGTATTGTCTTAATAGATACTAAAAGTGATAAGATGCTTAAATACTCTGGAAGTGTCAATGAAGGAGTGCCTAGTACTTGGAATTGTTTTTAGTTTTCATATTTTTATCACAAAAATATATTGGGCGTTATCCATCATTAAATTTGACTATTAAAATATACAGCTTGAATTTATAAAAAAAAAATAGTTTGATCTATATCTTTAATGTTCAAACTTAACAGTAGATAATTAGGACAGACATGTTACAAAAATAAACTTTCAGAACATATAAAAACAAAAAAAAACTTTTAGATACTAAGTGCTCCTTTGTTGATATTTCTGAGGTATTTAAGCACATTATCCTTATACTAAAATCTAATCTAATCTGATTAAGATTATAGTTTCATTTTTCATACACAAGTGCAGAATGTTTAATTTAAATTTTTTTAAAAAAATTATTTAGAAAATATTTGAGTGTAGAAAGATAAGAATTGAATACACACACATACATTTTTGGTGATCGCGATCCATTTGAACAGTGTAATTTTATATTGAAGCATGAAGATTGTGTCCAGATATTACTGCAATACGTGGATTTTAAATTTCATTTAATAATTTTTTTAGAAAATGGAGGATATATATAATTAATGCAGTCTATAGGAAATAATAAATATGGAGTAGCTAGGTTGCGAATTTCTTTTTCCGAAGAGGAAAATTAGAAGTGTATTATAGTTTAAGGTAGTTTGTCCAAATAAACAAATGAAAAAATGACAGCTTTTGTGACTTCAAAAAAAAAAAAAACTCCATTGACAAACTCAATTATTTTTATATATTTTGGTATCTTTTATATGGGTTTTGTCAACTTAATTGGTCCATTTTTGCCTTAATTGATTGTTCTTTGATTTATTTTGTTTTATTTTGAATTATATTTTATAGGGGCAAAATTGTCATGTTTTGATTTAATTATGATTAATTGATTTTTAAGGACAATTAATGCTATCTTATCCTTGAATTTTGCTTGCAGGTTCTTGGAAGATTCAAAAAAAAAAAGAAAAAAAAAAAAAAAAAAAGAAAAGAAAATTAAATTAAAAAATAATAATAATAATAAGTTGGGGGCAAAACGTTGCGTTTTGCCCCAACCTAATAATCATCATCAGCGAGGCGCGGAGAAGCAGAACACGAAACACACGACAGCGCCGAACACACACACGCGAGGCAGAAGAAATAAAGCAGGAGCGTGCTGGCGGCGAACGAAGAGAGGGGACCATTCATCATCTTCTCCGTTGAATCTTTCTGGTGGCAGAGAGAATCAGCGACGGGAGACGCGAACCAGCAGCACAACAGAACAGAGAGACAGCAGCTTGAACTGAGACGCGAGCAGAACAGGGGCAGCACGAGCTCGACGGCGTGAACAGTGTTCTTCCATGGCAGACCGCAAAAGAACATCGATTGTGGCATTTCTCGTGACTATGCGTGGCTAGAGCTCTGAAATCTTCTAATTCAACAATAATGGCAGGAGCTTAGATCATCAAGGGGAGTTTTAGTTGCTTTAATTTCCTACTCAATAATTGTTTAACAATTCCTAGGTCTTAGGATAGTTTTTCTAATTATTGAGATAATTGTATTGCTTAATCTGATTATATTTAGGGATTATTGTGACTGGATTATTGCTTAGTATTTGACATTGGGCTGTTTATAGCTTTGATTTCAATTATGATGTTGTGGTTATGACATTTGTATTGATTTTGGAGTTAATATATTATGATATTCTAAGGTGGCTTAGAATCTTGGATCATATTGTCTTTTGCTAGCTTTAAGTCTATTGTTGTGAATTTAAGGATTTAATTGAGCATTGGTTTTTAGTATCTTTAATTTCATTTTACTATTCTGGTTGCAGTTAGTAATTTGAATTTTAGGAAAATATTTTGTGGCAACTCGAGGTGGCTCGGTTGTTGGATTAAAAGCTTAATTATAATTCTTAATTCATTGTTTTTAACTCCCACATCTTTTAAAGTGATGATTGCCTACATTGTTGAATTAGAGGATTGATTATCATCAGTGTTATTTGTGTGTCTCATTTTCATTTCTTTAATCTCCATTCATTTTAATTACTTTTATATAAAAAAACAAAAAAAAGTATTTTAATTTCAATTTGATTCGTAGTATTTAATTAACAGCTTTTCAAAATCAAAAATCTCTTTTTATAGTTTAGGTTACTTGCATTCAATTGCTAGGGTTTAATTTCGTTTTTTCGGCTCCTCAAAGTGAAACGACCCGAGTTTTTGCACTATATTGCATTAATTCGGTTAATTTTTTGGAGTAACCCCAAAGCGACAATTAAGGGCAGTTCAACTTCAAATCCTGTTCTTATTATAAGATTTTTTTTTATAGTCTACAAATAAGATCTTATAATTAAGACCTGAGGTAGTAATTGACAATAAAACAAATATTAATGAAGGAATTAGTGTTCAAAATAACTAAATTTCATGAACATGAAAGTGAAGTTAAAAATATTGCATTATAAGTGGCAATATCAAGGGGAGGCGAATTATATTTATCAAATTTTCAAAATTATTAAACTTTTTCATTGCGAAAGAAGATGATCCCTTATAACATGGTAAATTAAAGCTTAAAAATCTGGTAGACGATTGTTTGCATTTACTATCAGCTGTATCTTGATTATAGGATTATTCTCAGTAGAAAGATAGTTATGAGTTAAAAAATGCAAGGGAAAGTGTTATCTACCCCAATCATTGAAGCATGCTTTTATATGTTATTATAATTTTGTGGTAATCAATAGAGATTAAGTCTAGCAGAATAAAATATTCTCTCACATCATGATAAACCAATATTTAAATTCCTGTTAAGAGACGTATTAACATTTAATATTTGATAATATCTCAAACATGATTGTCTCTAATAAAAAAATATTTATGCCTAGTAAAAGAATTTTGTGGTAGATGTTCAATACTTCAACTTCTACTATCCCCAGTCCTAAACGTAGCGTCTAGTTTATTTAGGACAGGAGGTAGTATATATTTATATATTAACAAAACTTGTCAAGCATTCGAAAGTAAAAATGATATTAATTTTACATTGAAATATTTTCCAGGTTTCATGTAATATTGCATCTAGGTTTTTGCATATTCCAAAGTCCAAATTCGGGATTTGGAGTCTTACGCA